CTATTTAAGTAAAATTAAATTAAATAAAAATTAAAATTAATATATACTTAGTAAAAAGTAATTTAAATAAAAAACTTTTTTATATATATTTAAATAAAAATAAATAAATTAAAAGATTTTTTTATATATATTTAAAATAAAAGTAATTTATATAAAAGTAAGTTTAATATATACTTAAGTAAAACTAAATTAAATAAAAGTAAAGTTAATATATATTTAAATAAAAGTAATTTATATAAAAGTAAGTTTAATATATACTTAAGTAAAATTAAATTAAATAAAAATAAAATTAATATATACTTAAGTAAAAGTAATTTATATAAAAAACTTTTTTTATATATATTTAATTAAAAATAATTTAAATAAAAGATTTTTTTATAAATACTTAAGTAAAAATAATTTATATAAAAGTAAGTTTAATATATACTTAAATAAAAATAATTTAAATAAAAATAAAATTAATATATACTTAAATAAAAATAATTTATATAAAAGTAAGTTTAATATATACTTAAATAAAAATAATTTATTTAAAAGTAAGTTTTATATATACTTAAGTAAAAATAATTTAAATAAAAGTAAACTTAATATATACTTAAGTAAAAGTAATTTAAATAAAAGTAAGTTTAATATATACTTAAGTAAAAGTAATTTAAATAAAAGTAAATTTAATATATATTTAAGTAAAAGTAATTTAAATAAAAGACTTTTTTATATATACTTAAATAAAAGTAATTTAAATAAAAGTAAGTTTAATATATACTTAAATAAAAATAAGTTAAGTAAAAGTAAATTTAATATATACTTAAGTAAAAGTAATTTAAATAAAAGACTTTTTTATATATATTTAAATAAAAGTAAATTAAATAAAAAACTTATTTATAAATATTAAATAAAACTAATTTATATAAAAATAAATTTAATATATACTTATAATAAAACTAGCCTTATAAGCAGAATACTAAATAAGTATTTATTATTAAATTAATATACTTAAGGAATAAGTTCTTAAGTTATATACTTTTAGTATACTTACTTATAAGGGGAGTTAGGGCTTAATATAGGCCTATACTAGGCCTGACTTAGGCCTATTATATACTAGTATATATAACTCTTATAGCTACTACCTAGGC